GAGTGAGCTATTTGGACACATGAATGCGGTATCTGCACCACCCCCACCTCACCCCCCCCCCCAGGCTGGTTGTTTGGGGGGAATTCTGGGAGTTGAAATCCACTCATCTTAAAGTGGCCAAGTTTGGACAACACTGGATTAGATGTTCATTTACTGGAGATGATCCAGTGGAGCCTACGCTGAGAAGTCAATTGGTCTCACTGATCTCTAAGATCTCTTCCAATGTTATGATTCATTGATTGTAGGTTACCTGCCTCATCTTTAAAAACTTACACACATGAGATAAATACAGGTTCAGAGTGGGGTTCAGAATTCTCTACCAAAAGTTTGGGTAGGTAAACCTTATGATATGCAAAGCTTCAAAAGGATATTCACTGATGGGGGCTCAAGCAAAACAACCTTTGAAGCTGCTTCAGAAAGTGACATGTGCCCTCTACTTCCAAAAGTGAAACAAATATTCTCTGTGGTTTTCCTCCTTATTGCTCCAAGTCTCTCGTCCAGCCATTTCAGTAACTGTATATCTACTATATGTATTTCTATACATACTATATGAGTTTCATATATACTATATGAGTTTCTGCATATATACTATATGCGTAGAAGCCTTTTTTGACTCTTTCAATCAGTTATTGGACTGGAGGAGAGAAATGTCTGGTTAAGCAGAATCACTTCTCCTCCTTACCTTGACATAGGCCTACTGACAACTCCTATGCTAAATCTAACCCTAATATATATCTTTTTTCCCTCTTCTGCAGGTTCAGATGGGCTTCAGTGAAGATGGGCAAATACAATTGGTAATTGTTAATCTATTATTATTATAACATTTTATTGTACAATACTCTTCTTTCCAGGAGAGCCCAGACTGGTATATAGAATAAAACTACAACAACAAAAATAAAATTTTAAAATAAAAAAAAAAACTTTCCATAAAAAACACTAAAGCAATTTACCACAAATCAAGATAACAATAAAAGTGGGACAATTAAAACGAAGTTCGTCCCAAAATGACTGGGAACGGTCATGACATGGCAGATGTCCAGCAGTACAAATATATCTTCCGTTTAGAGTTGTGCAAAATGTTCCGTGTATGAACTGTTTCATGCATGGAACAGTTGTTTTGGGGTAGTCTGTGCCAGATAGAAACCATAGGTCATATTATACGTGTTTTGCCTGCACATGAGCTGAATTTGGGACTGAACATGGAATGGAATGTGTGTTCCAGACAGAATTGTTTGGGGACAGGGAGGGTGAAAAAAGCCAGAGACATCAGTGTTGGTGGTGTTTAATTAGAGGTATGGAGTTGCATTGTATGGTTCCTGGCCATGTAATTTCAGGGAAGGACAAAATAGGAATAGTCTTTCTCCCAACATGTGTATGTACACATATGTGTTCCTTCTCAAGCAATTTGTAATGTTTCTTCAAACTACTTATGCCTTACTCACCATACTTATACCACTGAGCTGTGAACCACCCATAAGAATAACTGTAGTGATGACCTGCCACCGCAGACTTGGAGTCCGGATTAGTCTCAGTGGAGTCATGTCTTTGTGATTAGCCTCAGCAAGGTCCTCCTGATGCATCTCTTCAATTTCGTCTTCCACATCATCTGTCTGCCTCAGCGACTTCAGGACTGAATGGGGAGGGGGAAAAAAGGGGAGGAAAAAGCCTTTGCATTGGGAAAAGGAAAGAGAAAGTCATTCAGATAACCCACACAATTGTGTTACTAGAGCCAGGTTTGAGAGGGAGGTTCTAGCATAAGACCTCCTTGTGTCTTTTCCACAATTCAGCCCTAATTGTGCCCCATTCTTAACTGCTTCCTTCAGACTTAGACAGCAATGTGAACATTAATATCAATTAAATGGCCACGTTAACTAACCCAGAAGTTAGCATGGTTTCCCTTGATCTCCCAGTGGATGGTCCTGTGTACACCATTAGTCTATCTTATGACCACAGTTAGTCCAAGATAGTATTGCATTTCATCAGTGTGAACTGCTTCAAAAATTCTCTTTTCCTTTCTTTCTTTTTTATTTATTACTATTATAATTTTAAAAAATCAAATATACTGATACAAATATAGATTTAAAATGATATAAACAATAAAGGGAGAAAGAAAGAAAGAAAGAAAGAAAGAAAGAAAGAAAGAAAGAAAGAAAGAAAGAAAGAAAGAAAGAAAGAAAGAAAGAAAGAAAGAAAGAAAGAAAGAAAGAAAGAAAGAAAGAAAGAAAGAAAGAAAGAAAGAAAGAAAGAAAGAAAGAAAGAAAGAAAGAAAGAAAGAAAGAAAGAAAGAAAGAAAGAAAGAAAGAAAGAAAGAAAGAAAGAAAGAAAGAAAGAAAGAAAGAAAGAAAGAAAGAAAGAAAGAAAGACATAATAATAAAATACAGGTGGATATGTTACAAGTCATGAATAACCAGCAAATCTCAGTGTTACATTGAACACCAAGAGACTCCACATAACTGGTATTGGGACTCACCAGGCAAGGGTAGTCAGAAGTTCAACCTTGGGGTTCAAACCTTCTCCCCAGAACTGAACTGACAAACCTTTACACTTCAGATGACTATATACAATGTATTAACTTTAAGAGTTATTTAGGTCCTGGTACTTAGTAGCACAAGAAGGGATCTCTGGATGTTCCATCAGAATGGTATCTACAGTCCACCTTCCCTTAAGCTGTCAGAGAAGAGAGGTGTTACATTATGTCATGCTCCCATGTATGGAAGGAAGAGTTTGGAAGTCAAGTAAAACCCTGTACATGGGGGAATGGCATAATGTAACACCTCTCCTCTCTGACAACTTAAAGGAAGGTGGACTGTAGATACCATTCTGATAGCATACCACATCTAAAATATTGTATTGTTAATGTATTCTAATACCCTATTAATGGCTTAGTGTGCTATATATGTTTTGTGCCTGATTTCTAGCCAGGATCTCTTTTTCTTTTAAAGAACTTCTAAACTGTAGAGTCCTTGGGGTTCTCTGAGCTTGGTTGTTTTCTTGCAGATGTTTCATTACCTGACTAGGTAACATCTGTAGTGCTAGAAGGGAGTGGAGCTTGCTCTCTGTTTATATACAATGGTTTGGCCTGTCAGTGTTGGAGGTTTCTTTCCCCCCAGCCCCCTTAGACGTACCTATAGATTAGGCTGTTATTTACTGCTTGATTTTTTGTCTGGTTTGTTTCTTTGTTTGCCTGGTTATTGTTTCTTTTGAATGGTGTGTACATCTCTATGTGTCTGTGCCAGGCATATGGAGATTAACAACATTTACACACCATTCAAAAGAGACAATAAAAAGGAAACAAAAAGACCATAACACCTTCTCACCAGCAATCAACACCCAGATAAGCAGAGGTTAACACCAGGATTAATACCAGACAAACAATTAAACAGTAAACAATACCCTAATCAAGGAACTACCAGGTCAGACAAATAATCAAGCAGTAAACAACAGCCTAATGTAGGAACTTCCAAGAAAAAAAACAACACCTCATCTAACACTGACAGAGCAAGCTACTGTGTATAAACAGGGAGCAAACCCCGCTCCCTTCTAGCACTGAAGATGTTACCTAGTCTGGTAATGAAACATCTTCAAGAAAAAACCAAGCTCAAAGAACCCCAAGGACTCTACAGTTCCACCCTGAGCTACATATTCTCTTCTACTGGAACTTCTAAACTTCTCTTTCCACAATCAGAATGAGAATTAACAGAACTGCAAGGGAATTTCCTAAGCCTGATTGGTTCCATGGTCAAATCTCACCCCATCAGAAAGTTTGTTGGTGGGTGGCTGTTTTTCTTCTTCAGTCGCATGTTGTTTTCTTGGTTTGATGGCTCTTTTTATTTCATTCTTGGAGTAGCCATTTGC